CGAGTGCAAAGAGTTAATCGTGTCGGCGTTCAGCGATTTGATTCTTGAATTTGACTTTCGTTAGACAGATTAAGGTTTTCAGAATAATTCCGTCTTCTGCGTCGAAATATAATTCTACTCTTTTACGCTGGCAAGTTTCGAAGCGTTCGTGTCTGGGCAACAAATTTCAATAGAAAATTACGTGGTTTATGTCATTGTCGGGTACGATCGCTTTAGATGCTACAGAGCGAAACCACCCCTATGAAACTTGCAGCAAAGGCTCAAACGCAAACGGTTACATTAGACAGAATAGTTGAGTTCTTGGAGCGCGAAATGCTTCTTGGAGGATGGGCTGCTGGATGTTTGCCGTGTTCATCGGTTCCCAAAATGACAGAGCAACTGGATCATCCTACTGAACCATTGTATCCAAGAATCGCGCGAACAAACGTGTAGTCTCGCAAGATGGTGTCTTTCGGGTAGCTATCTGTTACGTTAACCTTTCAGGTACGGCTGAATTCTGCGCGAGGCTATTTCTCTGGACGGCAGAGTCTGATATGTACTGTACAGAGTGTCTGTATATTGTTAAGATACAGTTATATTGTTAACAATCATATTGTTAAGATAAGTCTGTATATTATAAATCAATGTGAAGACAAAGGAAGTGTGAAACAATGCACATGAAGACGATTATTATTAAGACCACTATAGTGGCGCGTCGTTCAGAGAGATGACATCCGCAAAAGCCACTATAGTGGCGCGTCGTGCCTAAAACGTTAACTGTTACTCGCGGAAAGAAAGAAGTCGAGTAACGATAAAGAAAAAGAGAGCGAGAGTAAAATATTGTCGTGGATATCGGGAAAGAACAATTTATACGAATCTGAGAGTTCTCAACATTCGCGGAGAGTCATCGCACGGAAACCAAAAGGAGACTGATAAATGTAGCGAAGAAAATGCAGGCCAAAGCGGAGAACTTTGATGCAGCCTGCGGGGGACTGGTTACCGATCGCCGAGGAAGGAATCGCGTCGTCGGGACGTTTTCTGAAAGCATCGAGAGAGCTAGAGAGCAGCTAGCCCGATTTCAGAGTACGTGTTCACGGCCAAGGCCAATCGAGACGAGCTTTTGGACGCGTTCTCATGGACCGAGGTTGACGGGGCGGCGGCGTGCGACTGGGTTCTCCGAAGGCATCCGACTCCCACGCTGGTCGCGCCGGTGGTGTTCCGTGTGTAGACGAAATACACGTGTGCCACGCACACGAAGAAGACGGCCGGGCGATAGAGGAGGGCAGAGAGAGAGAGAGAGAGAGAGAGAGAGAGAGAGAGAGAGAGAGAACGGGAGAGATGCGTCGGAGGCATCACGTTGCGCGCGGGACCGGGAGAAAGGGACATGCACGACGCACGGTTGCTCTGCATGCATTTAAAACGGGGACGCGGCCCGTAAATCACGTAGTAGAGGCTCGACGCGGCTCTCGGCTCGGCTCGTTGCAATGCAACGGTGAAGAGGACATCGCGCGCCACCGGCACCGACGCCGCCGCCGCCACGTGGTTTTCGCGGCAAAACTATGCGGCCGCCACACGCCGGGCGAATTTATGAATGGGAGAAGCCTATTGACAGATCGCGCGTCGATAACTCTCTCGTTAATGACCCGTGATGGTGGGTGAGCAGCTCGATGTGCCGCAGGAGGACGACGTCGGCCAAGAGGAGGAGGAGGAAAGAGGAGGCGCGGAGGACAGAGACGATGGAAGGAGGGCAACGGGGGAAACTCGGACTCGCTTTATACCCGAGGTACCGAGAGCGTCATACGCCGTTCGGTCATCGTAACGAGTCTTTGTCCTGGCCCGATGGAAGTGGTCCTCGAAGCACCCAGGGCTCTATCTCGCGAGGCTCTGTCCCGACCAACTCCTGGCCATTCGATGAAATCGTCTTTCCGCGAATTTAGCCGTGCCACCGGCTTTTCTGCGATGGCTATGATAGCCGGGCTATACGATACCTCAAAGAACCCCCTTTGCCCCAACCAATTTCTCCATACACAGCACGAGCGATCATGCCACTCCGAAAACGCTAATTTAATTACTTTTAAGGAATGTCCGAGATGAGGGACGCTTTCTGATTTGTTGAAGTGCTATCGGTAAGACCTGTTGTAGGAACATCGACACAAAACTCGTGAACCGAGAATGTATTGATGAAACGAGCGGTAAAATAGTATTTATCTCTGAAAATCATGTCCTGAGATATCTGGTAGAGCTAGTCTCCTCACGAGGACGTCTCGTTGGAGATTGAGTATTCGAATACCGTATTCCTTATTTTCGTTCATCTTTTATAATATTGATATTCTATGGTAATTTATTGGTAGTGCTCCGCGGAATTTTAATAAATCAAACGCCAGCTAAGGTGTTATCTGCGATGCTGCTGCACGGTAGCAAAGAAATATCGCACTTATTATCTGTCACAAGAAGAATTATTCTACTCTAACTTATCCGAGCAACTGAATATTTCATAAAGAAAGGAGAACATTTTTCGTAATATTTTAAAAATATTTACCACTAAAAATCCTGCAACTGTTAGAAGCACCCCGATTGCAAGTATCCGACGGATGAGCTCGCTCACCTTCTCAGGTCACAAGCTATCACTGGTAAATTCGAAAAATATTGGAATTTCCACACAAAGTCAACCGCATTTTTATCAAAAAATCAGTTGACAGGTTTACTTGACGCGTACATGCGCAATGGCCATTTTTTTTAGATCACAAAGATAGGATGTCTATAGAAGATAGGACACTATAAGTTCACTGTCGAAATTGCTCGATGCGTATAATATTTTACGAAAAAGAAAAAAAGAAAAACAAGTAATGCAGAAAATTTGCGTTACCAGCTCTGCCGATTCTGACACCGACTTTATACACGTCTGACGCAACGACGGGGATTTCAGGCGACTCTGCGTTGGTATTTCACCAGCATCAACGATTTCAGATATCGTCCAGCTTCGATCAACGATTCCACCATTTCGATGTCGAACTTCGAAATGCCGCGTGATCCTCTTTGCGAGGATCCGATCGAAGCAGAGTGGAGAAAGAAGATTCTCGAGTATGGAATATGAATTTCCCGAAATTTTATCAATATCTGATCACGAAAAACTTTCGCGAGCTAATCGAACGATTTTCTATCCATCAACCTACACACGGGGCAACTAAATGACCACTGTACACGTACACACGATCCTTAGTAGAAGCCAATGGATTTCCACACCAAAGATCCAATTAATCCGAATATCGAGATACATTGAAACCATGATGGTTGTAACATTTTATAAGAATACCGTGGAAGACAGACATCGGTATCTCGAAGTGGTAATTTTTACGACCGCTATTTCTGCAGCTAGACATATCGTCAGATTCCGCAGCAAAACCAGAGAAGATCATAGAGGAGCACGGAGGACGAGTTAACTCGTCTTCCTCGGTTAACAGGTTAAGGGTAAAAAGGGGGAGGGAAGGAGGCCTAATAAATCGTTGGTATCGCGACCACGCGATCGCCAAGTGAAAAAGGAGCAAAAAGCAAATATATGCTTTTAAAAACATCCCTTAGAACAAGCGGGTTGTTGTCGTCGCGGTAACCATGACGACGTTGCCCCCTTGATGGTTGGTCATAACCGTGCCCCCTCCCCGTCACTTAGCGAACTCTGCGTACCCTTCTCCGCGCTCCTCGCAGCGCGCCGTAGCGACGCTAGGTTTCCTCCACGGCGCTGGCCAAGTAAAGAAGAGGCAGCCTCGAAGCCTCCGGTCACCTTTCTCTATCTCTCTCTCGCTTGCTCCTACTCGATCTTTCTCTCTCTACCGCTCTCGGTACGCGCTCCCAGTCTCTCTCTCTCTCCCTCTTATTCCTTCTCTACAGTGGTTTCTTTCTCTCTCCCCCCTCCCCGACCAGCGACCCACGACCCGCCGTCGTTACCACAGCCACCTCGATAGCCCCCTCGGCCTCGCCATCTACGCCATCCAGCCGCGGCCACCGTCCCACCTCCTCCTCCTTCGGCTCCCCTCCTGCCCTCCTACTCCGCCACTGCCGCCTGCCGTCATCGCTCGCTCTCCCTCCCTCCCCCCGACTGCCGGCGCCCGTCCCCAAGCCCAAGGAAACGCGGGATCGCTTCGAATTCAAACTACTGAACACGAGGTTACCACGCGTCAAATCTGACACTTCGCCACCAACGTCAATGCACCGCCGTCTCGTTTTCTAGCCGGTGTCGGGAACACCGTCGGCAACGTGAAACATCTCCGTCGTTCCCCGTGTACCCGATTCCGTGCCGTCGTTTCTGACGGGGTATCGAGGTTTTTCGGGGGACGCGCATGATTCGAAGAAACGTGTGCTCCTAAAGCCCTACGCACGAACAAAGAGAAAGCAACCGGTCACCACCGTTGCGTTTCTCGTGTTTTCGTTTCTTTGTTTCAGAGGTCTCGAATCGGTCGTTTCTCCGCGGCTCTGTGTCGACGGACGATTTTTACTCGACACAGGTCTCTGTCTGTTTGTCGACAGAAAGATTTGAGATTCTGCGGCCTCGAGAAGAGATCGTGAAGAATATAGGATTCGAGGAAAGTCTCGACCGGGCTCGTAGTCGTCCGTCACGTTTGTGTGCGCCAGCCGTCGAAGGCGTTACGGGAATGAGAACCGTTCTCTTCTGTGGTCCGAGGCAAGAGCGAACCGATCGTATCCGAGTGAATTCGTCAAACAAGAAGAGAATCACACACTGAAAACACTAGGCACGACGTCGCATGCGGCCGAGGGATAAAAGTCCCCCGATGGAGCAACACCGAACTGAAAAACCGAGCTGGGATTTTTTTTCACAAGAAACGGACAACACTGTCGCCTCCGTTCTGTCGAATTCACGTAACGCTCTCTCGGGCTGGCCATACAAGAACGTTTTTCTTTTTCGTAGGCGGACGAGAGCACAGGTCGGCGGCACAATTTTGTTCGATAGAGGAAAAAAAAATAGGTAGTGTGTGCGAAGAAAGGGATTAACGTAGCACTGCACTCACCTGACCAACGTCGCACCACATTATTATTTCGCTGGCACTGACGACAGCATCTTGGATCGCTTGTGTACCATACACAGTGTGGCTCGATGGTTTTTTGTTTTCAGTGAAATAACAGTACGTGAAGTCGAAGCTCCACCGTCGGTGTTCGCTCCGGTTTGATAATATAACGCTTTGTTCGTTTTCGGTTATTTTCTCACAGTCTCACGAAATGCACTCACGTTTGCTGATACATTCGTCGCCGTTTGATTATACCTCGCGTTTCGATATACCGTCTCCTGACTGGCTCGTCGAGTAACACCACACGATCACTTCGAGTGAACGACACGACTCTCACCGACGAGCCTACTAGCGACTGGCTGGCCATGCAAAGCATTACTGAATACTCTAACAACAGTACTCGCCGAGTGTCGCCGCTCGGTTTTCCCCCGAACGCGCGCTCGGCCGTTTCCGTTGGACCTCGGCCCACCTGCACTCTAGCACGACGGCACGGTACGCAGGATCGTAGCCAACGCGCGCCGGGCCCCTTCCCTGTTCTTCGTGTTTACTTCGAGCGATTCCACGCGAACTGTCTCACGATCGAATCAAATTTTTAGCATGTTGCTAAATAAGTAGGAAGATTTTTTTAATGTGAAAATAAAAAGGAAGCACCGCGCGGTGATCGTCGATAGCGGCGATATCTTAACGAGCATCGTACGAATTGATTTTTAACGATTATTATATAACTCTGATACGCTTATAAATATTTATCTTTGGCGCGATTAGTAAATTGTAAATACGCGACTTCGTATTTGCTGATGTTCATGAAAGAAAGACCTTCTGAATGAACGTAAATTAAAGGGTCCTGGCTATTTTACAGCCTGTAAAGTTGTAATAACGGGAGCGCGGCGGGTACCTTTAATGTTCCCGAAGAAAGTTTCAGAATTTATTTTTATACGCTACCGGTTGGCTGTGGTAGCCGCCGGTGACCGATGCTTTTGCCCGTGTGTTTAATTTATTCGAATTTGTGCACAATGAGATTCATGGTTTTCGACGGGACAACGAATGATTTAGATGCTTGATCGAGTAATTTTTTCGCTGTTACGCCGCCAACAATATGAATTCATTAGAGCGTTAGTTAAATTGTTTCGATACACCTACCGAAACGAACAAATTAAAACAGTCCTGTGTCACGATGATTTACCGCGCGGTCGATTGGACTTCGAATTTAATAAATTATTTTTAAAAGCCATTGTACACCGAAAAGCGAATAGCACAATATTGTCGACGTTCAAAACGGTGGAGGATTTTGTACGAGCGGAAGGGCCGCGTTCTATTCACGCCACGTAAATTAATTGTATAATTAATATTGAATATCCTCGGATTGTTTATGCCATTTAGGTGGCTCATAGAAACGATATCCATTGTTTAAACGCACAGTTTCGAAATGGAATCAATACTTCTATACAAACTGATTCGTTGATTAATGATCTGTATTTTATATTAAAAATATGAAAAATTAATCAGCAGGAAAAATAAGAGAAGTCTGTCACCATAATTTTTCCAAGCTCGTGAAACATATTTTATCGACAAATTCAACTTTCGCATTTTCTATAGGACAATAATTGAAATTCGAGGTTATATGTGTGTATAATAATAAATACACATTATACCATTAATATTCTGTTGAAAATTTCTAATTGATTTGTTTTATTCGCACGATAAAAATTGCATTTGACAGAAATGTTTTTAATACAAAAGCACTTGCTCGAACTGATGAGAAAAATAATTTGGCGCGAGAAAGTGCGCGATAGTCGGACGTCGCTCGATGAAAGTTACGGGAGAATGGTTTGACGAGCGATGAAAAATTTGATCCGGCGCAAAAACTCAAAATGACTTAGGCCATTCGATAGGTACCGGGAACTATTTCGCGGACCTCGCATTTCTCGCGCCGTTTATCAGCAACTTCGTCACGCAGTACGGTTCGACTATACGTATCCGCGCATATCAAAGTGAACCGAGAATGCTTAAAATTTTCGTGTATCATCTATACATTCCATAATAATTCCATCGTATCAACGAATAAAAAACATCGAAACAAAAAATTTTTCATTAATAAAATATTTTCAAATGGAATCGCACGCTACGCGAAGATAACGTGCACATAAATTTATTTATACCAATTTAGACAATTTTTCGTTTGTCCATGTCTGTAGAAGAAATTTTGAAAATGGAACGCGATAAATATTTGAGAAAACAGAAGCGCAGGCGATCGATATTAATGCAATGTTGCAACTCGATTTTGGTTTCGAGGCTGTGAAACCGGGGAACCTGCAGACATCGGGGCCCCCGAGTATGAGGGAGTCCTCCCAACGCCGTTAGCTTCGAAACCCGCCACTGACTGTCAGCCTGTATACGGCAAGCAGCGCAAGAGCGGCCGAAGGCCTCGGCTCTCGCGAGCCAGCAACGAGCAGCAGACAACGCCGCACGGATGCCGGCGCGCCACCTACCATACGGCAAGCAGCCTAAGAAAATTCACCGCGAACATTTTTATTCGGTACCGGGTAAACGGGCAGCATCACCGGCACGGTCCGATCGCGAAATGACACCGGTCGGACCGTAGCATCGACCGATGATGCCGATTACCCGGTCGGCCGGCTAATTTCGTGAATTTTGCGCGACATTCCGTAGGTAGCTCCGAGGCTTCGAGAGGAGTGTACGGCGTATCGCGCGGCGGCCACAGCCGATGGCGAAGCAGTTCTAACAGCGAAGTCGTTTTCACCGCGAAGGCGCGGTGAACATTTCTTCCTCCTAGCCGGCGAACAGTCAGCGGATCCCTCTCTGTTCATTGTTCGTCGGGATTATGCTCACATGCCCGTTCTCTCGATGGCGTGTTTTTAATGGAAAAGGACTTCGACTTCTTGCGCTCGCGTGAAAGTTCCAGCCAGCCAGCCAGCCAACCAGCCAGCCAGCCAGCCAGCCAGCCAGCCAGCCAGCAGCAGCGAGTCGAACTTCGATCGAGCCCGTCGACTCGAGGATCCAGGCACATAGGCTTCGGGGCGAAGTTGAGCGTTCGAGAAATCCGTTCCCGTTCCCGCTGGCCGATCGACAACCGGGTCGGTCATGCAGAGTTCGCTGTTTTCGCGAGGATGAGTCGCGTCGCGAGCCATGCAAAGCGTTCCGTCCGCACCGCTGGGAACCATGGTGTGTCACGGTTGCATGCGGCAAATCGAAGTGACGAAATCTTATGAATACTACACTGAACCGACTGTGTGTTTGTTTGTTGTTCCCGGGTAATGTTTGACTGGCGTATTGTATGTATGGTAACGGGAGCCGGGGTGGGGGTAACCAGGCGGAGTGGTAGTGTATAAGTTTGAACCGGCGGATTATTGTTAGCGCGGGAATGCGCCAATGATTCTGACCGCGGAAACAAACGCGTACCGACCGTTTAAATCCGCTCACTCGCGGCACAGCCGTATGCGGCTAATAATATACGCGTAATACCTGCGCCGCGACACAAAGAACAGTACCAGGAGGACAGACGAACTCGTAGCGTGGCTCCGCGACGGAAGTAAAGAGCCAGTCCGGTTTTACGATTGGTTAGGCATCGTGCGACAGATGAATTGTGGCCAATGAATGTCCTTGCTCTCTGGACGAGGCCGCGGCGACATAAGCAAGACGTCTCTACTAACCTTATGAGCACTCTTCCCGTCTATGAGCCACAATGCCTGATCGGTTATGGAAAATGCGTTCTCAGATTATTTACAAACCTGCTGGTATATAATGTGGTGGTCGGTCCCGCGGAAGAAGACATCCGAATAACGCTCATAGTCGTAATAATTGTCACACTTCAACTGCTATTACTTGCAACTTCGACTATGGTCAAAATTTGGGGTGCTTTTTTTGGAAAACCAAATCGTAGTACTCTAGGATGCTCATTGATGATATTGTGAAATTTACACGTTCGTGAGCAGTTATATATTTGTGTGTTTTGATTCTATTCGACGTGTTTCTTTTATTGTTGTACTATTCGAATGATTTAGACTTTCCTTGGATATGATTACTGAACTTTCTCATCTAGCGGCGGAATGGGAACTAGAGGTAGATGGCACCAGGGGTGGGGATAAGGAAACACCGAGGAACTCGCGGGGCGTTTTACGACCGTCTTCGAAAGCTGCGACTCCTGTGTACTTCCGGCCTGAATTCTAGAAGCACCTGCAGGCGGTTTTCTTTTCGCGGAAGCGAAAAGATAATTCAGCGACTGCTGAAAATACCCCGTCGGCGTTCGTTCGTGCTTGTATTGATTTTTGTTGACATTGTTGAATCAAGAGTCGTCTCATTGACCGTGCGATTTATTACGTCGTCGAAAAACTGATCTCACCGAAGATGGCCTTTAGTATCATCTTAACCTCTACACGGACTACATATGTCACTGTGATGCTATTATTTTGGTAATTATTTACTATGTCACTTACTACGTAGTGACATAATTATTTCAAGATTTAGACAAATTTTTATTAGCACACCGTGTTTTCAATGATGGTGCAAAGCAAAATAGATCTCGCATTTTCAATATTGAACACATTACTTGTGTTGTTGGAACTTCTAAGTTCACTTTAGAAGTTAATTTAAAGATTAAATGAGTGACTGATTTTTCACGGAATATAACAAAGTTCTGGATTTATTACAGATATTAAATGTTTTACAGAAAAGAAATATTTTGGCACAAAAATATAAAAGTTTAAAAGTGTTTACATAAGAACTGTTCGGGAATATATGTAGACTCGAGAAAGTATCGAACAAAATGGTGTTACGTTGACGGTGCATCGACGGGGATCCTCGAGTCAGTTTTCCCGCCATTCCTCTGCTGACCTCGCAACCGGAAGTCGTCTCTCAGCCGCATTCCTCCCATCCCTAAATTTCTTTTTCTCTTCTCTACCTCCTATCACCGAGCTGCGATTCAGGTATGTTGAATATTAATACAAAAACTAGTTTTTCATTTTTACATCGTTGATAAATATATTTTAACTGCAATCCGAACGCAAGAAATTTATGAAGCCAAGTTCCCTACTAATTATTCCCACGTACACGTACCTTTAACGAACGTCATTCTTCCCTGTTTAACCAACTGAAACTGTCAACCAGTATCTATCGATAATCCCTCAAATTTACATTGTTATCCAATATCGAACTCCAGCAGCTGGAAGTCTCTGGCTCGGTCGAATTAAAAGCACCTGTTAATACACGCTCAGCTCTACACTGACATCCGGGCGACATCGACAGGTGCTGTAAGTTAATCAACTAATTCGGCAACTGGCGCGTACACACACGACTTTCGTTCATCTTCTTTTTACAGTAATTATTCACTGAGACAATTTATGCCGTCATGCATCGTTAAGGACTAAAGCGTGCACTTTCCGAACACCATTAGACGGCGAATTTTCTACACTTGTAACATACTCGTTCTTTTAAAACCTGCTATAGCAAGATACACGATACAAACATTTTTTACAAGATTTATTTTCTTTAGAATATAATAGAACTCTTATTGTTAATTAGGAAAGGTACATAGCATTTCATTTTCAATTTTTGTAAGTTAGTCAATTCAAAATATTTTAGCTGGATTAGTGAATCCTTATGTTATAAGCAACAGCGTAAACAAAGTAATAATAGTTTCGCTCCATGTTTCATTAAACGCACTACATGAACATGTTGGAAATTTGAAGTTGCACCTTCATATTGGTATTATAATAACTGAAGTAATGTAATATTAGAATAACAGCAACTACGATATTTGTTCTTTAATATTGATAAAAATCCATAATGGAAGATTCTGGTTAAGAATACTTTCATTCCATATTTTATTTATAGTATGTTAAATTAGAGTGTAGAAGAAAAAGTAGGTAGAAGTTATAGTATTTATTTCTCTAATCCATGCACATAGAGGTTTTTGGGTTCACATAACTGTTTTTAGTCGAAACATCGCACACTTTACATTTTACAATTTTCTGCACATTTTTGGATATATCAAGGTTAGTGTTACGAATAAATAATAATAATAATAATAATCACATTAGCTTGAAACTTGAGCTCAATGCTAATTTCTGCATCGACTATCCTCACTCGTTCATTTTATTTGTTCATACTTTATTGAGCAACTATTTTCGAGGAGTACCAAGAGTACAAAGAAGTACAAAGAGATTTTGATGATCTCTTAGAATGTTATCTAGGTCATTTTTCGGAGTACCGTTGCGAAGGTTTTACTTGGCGGTCGTTCTTCATCGAAATATTATTAATAAGAAAACCAATAATTACCTGGACAAGGATCTACTTTATCAGTTTCAATGATTTTTAACAATGTCATCGGAGACCTCGTTCTGCAAATTTTCGCATAAAATATTTGTATTTATATATACTGCAAAAAGGTCATTCGAACCAATTATGAAAAAAGTAATTCTAGCAATGAACGAAGCACCGCCAGCTTCGCGGTTGTCGTGCAGTGGAGTTATCGAAAATTTCGTCGGGGTCAAGAGAGACCCGTGGATATCGCAACGGGCCAACGCTTCGATAGACGGCGAAGTGTTAACGCGCGGGAACGAGCGATGGGGAATAAGAACAACAAAGTGGCTCGCGGTAGATCGGCGGCGTTCGAAAGGGCGGTCACGCTAATAGCGACGATCGGATCCTCATTATGGATTCCGATCGTGGTTATCGATAGAGATCGGCAATAAGTTTTAGCAGCCTTCGGCCGAGGGATCCGTTCCGCTCGAGGGGCGAGAGTGCCGCGAATTAATTCGAGGGCCGAATCGTTCGGATTAGTCCGTTAAGAAGCCCGGCAATTTCGATTCGGGCTAGTGACCGGAACGATGTTTACATAATACATCGGATCTCGGCGATCACGGATCACGGCCGACACGTAATATAAACAAACTGATACCACGAGGCGGCCGAGGCATTTCCCGATCGCGTTAGACTTATGCAAATCGTCGGAGCTCTCCCCGCGGGTGGTCGCATTAGTCACCCACCCATAAAAAGGAAGAAGAAAAGAGGACGACGTGGCGGACGTGAAACAGAGACACACGGCTCTGTCGTCGGCATCATTGATCGGCAAACCGCCGGCATGTATAATTATAAGAGACATTTATTAATTCTTTAGCGACAACGTAATGCAAAACGGTGTGCGGCGACCGCCTGCTTGTTGCCCCCACGGCGGCGCCGCGCCGCGCCGTCCTGTTTTCATTCATGCATTTCGCGAACTAACGTGTATCAATAAACCGATGAAACTTATTATTCATTAATTGCTCATTGTCACGGACTGTTGCGCAACCCGGTTACGCTGTTTGTAACCTTGCCATCGACCCCGTGGATGCGGTCTCTCGCCGTTAATGAATTAATTAATTCTTAATGGTTCGCCGTTAATGAGAACCGCGATGACAGAACAAGAGTGGCCGAACACCGACGGGTATCGGTGACTTTGCGCCGCATCTTATCGGCCCGCCGATAACGGAGTCTTTATCGACGATAACGCGGCTCTTCAGACTCGCGACTACTTTGCTTCCAATGCGCGAATGAAGATTATACAAAAAATAACTGTACGCCTCGTTTTCGTTGGGAATCTAGTTTCTGTATCGAGCACGTGTTCCGCTTCTACTCTGCAACGATAATCTGACTATCCGACACGTTACTCGAACGGTAGATTGATCAATGACAACAACAGTCTCTCGTATCGCGCTGGGTTCTAGGTGTGGATATAACCTTTGACTAGTCAGGTCGTTTGCCTAGCTCTCTAATTTCAATCTTTGAGCTTTCTGTCAATATTTCGACGACACGGTATCTCTTTATCTATTTATTTATTTATTGCCGCATACGTTTAATAGTAATTGACAACCACTTGTGGGAATAATAGTCTCTAGGGTTGCTTGCGCATGTAATATAATAGAACAGTTTCTACGTTAGATTGAACACTCATTACATTGAACACTCTGGTTTGAATTAAGCAATTTAGTTTCTTTTAAACAGGACATGAGTATTATTAGGTATTGGGCATTCTTTCTTTTCTCCTGATATTGTCATACGATGGACAATTTAATCGGAAGATGTTTAACCGTAAGCCCGGTATTGTAGTTGTTACAAAGTAGTTTATCAGTTTTTGAGAGCAGGTAGTGATGGGTTATTTTAATATGCCCTATCATTTATCCATATTTATACTCTAAATTTGTATTCATTATCATTATCATTATCATTATCATTATCATTATCATCGTTACTTTTCCACCTGTTTTATAATATATTTCTGTTGTTTTTTCTTTCTATTCTTTTTATCGTTTTCATAAGCAGATTAAATCATTGGAGACTCAGGAGATGAACGTATCAGGTGTTCCCCTTTATTCCCGTCCAAGCTTTGTACCTTCGATTTTGTACATACCGACCTCGTTGCCGGCATTCTCATCGAATTTTCGCATTTCGATATCGTGGGAAGTAATCGTTGCTATTGGAATTTGTTGTTAATTAATCCCACAAGAATGATTTCTAAAAAAAAATTGTTCCCGGAGAGACGGACGTACAAAGTATGTCACGGAACTTCTTACCCGGTGTCCGTCGAGTGTCCGAAATTCCTTGAATAGTGTTTGGTGCGCCCCCTGCAAAAGGCAGAAGTAAAAATCAACACTCCGTGGAATGCGACGAACGCGAAGGTCGGATTCACCGGATCAGATTCACCTAGATGCTACTTTCAATTAATTCTCCGCCGGCTGGAAGGGTCGACGTCCCGAGAAAGGAGGATCGTAGTCCCATAAAACAGAGTCTCGGTCCGCCTCTGTCTCCTCCACCTACTCCTCGTTTCTCTTTTCGCCTCTTTAACCCTGACCTCCCGTAAAATACACCGAGAAAAAGACTTTTCCAACGTGTACGCACGAGCGAGCTGCCGGTGCTGGCCGAACTCATGAATGGACCCGCGGCTCTATTTACGAGCGCGCGACCTGCTGCTTTTATCGTCGTCTCGAACCACTCTTTCGCCGGCTTTGCCGCTTTTGGTGCACGCCGTAGATGCGCTGCCGACCCTGACGATTCCCTCCTACCAGATGCCAGACATCGCTGAACCTTGTCCTCGCGGGGATGATTCATCCCTTCTTTCCGGGACCACTGATTTTTGGACGCCGCACCGACAGTTCTCGACAGCAGCTACGAAAAGTGTTCGAAAAACAGATTTATCATTTCCGAAAATTACCAATATTTGGATTCTTGCACTGCGATATTGGGCTCGTGATTAGATCCATAATTTGCAACGGTACTGTTAGATAATTCTCCAATTGTTGCGATACGCATTATGGCTCCGAAAAGTGTTCGAACAACAGATTTATCATTTCCGAAAATTACCAATATTTGGATTCTTGCACTGCGATATTGGGCTCGTGATTAGATCCATAATTTGCAACGGTACTGTTAGATAATTCTCCAATTGTTGCGATACGCATTATGGCTCCGAAAAGTGTTCGAGCAACAGATTTTTCATTGTCGAAAATTACCAATATTTGGATTCTTGCACTGCGATATTAGGCTCGTGATTAGATCCGTAATTTGCAACGGTACTGTTAGATAATTCTCCAATTGTTGCGATACGCATTATGGCTCCGAAAAGTGTTCGAACAACAGATTTATCATTTCCGAAAATTACCAATATTTGGATTCTTGCACTGCGATATTAGGCTCGTGATTAGATCCGTAATTTGCAACGGTACTGTTAGATAATTCTCCAATTGTTGCGATACGCATTATGGCTCCGAAAAGTGTTCGAGCAACAGATTTTTCATTGTCGAAAATTACCAATATTTGGATTCTTGCACTGCGATATTAGGCTCGTGATTAGATCCGTAATTTGCAACGGTACTGTTAGATAATTCTCCAATTGTTGCGATACGCATTATGGCTCCGAAAAGTGTTCGAGCAACAGATTTTTCATTGTCGAAAATTACCAATATTTGGATTCTTGCACTGCGATATTAGGCTCGTGATTAGATCCGTAATTTGCAACGGTACTGTTAGATAATTCTCCAATTGTTGCGATACGCATTATGGCTCCGAAAAGTGTTCGAGCAACAGATTTTTCATTGTCGAAAATTACCAATATTTGGATTCTTGCACTGCGATATTAGGCTCGTGATTAGATCCGTAATTTGCAACGGTACTGTTAGATAATTCTCCAATTGTTGCGATACGCATTATGGCTCCGAAAAGTGTTCGAGCAACAGATTTTTCATTTCCGAAAATTACCGATATCTGGATTCTGG